ATTGTCCAGAAAACATAAATATTCCTAATATTCGTGACCAGCCAATGTGATATAAATATAATTTGGGCAAAAAAATAACACTTTCTCGTTACAAAGCGATAAGTGTTATGCTTTGAATCTGGCCAGTCCGATTTTTTCGAAGCTGAAATGGAGTATTATTCCATAACAAACTATCGAAAAAATGATACAGCTAATAATTAAATTTCACAGTCAATTCCTACGTCCGTTATTCTGCAGAATTGTAAATGTTACGGATATTCTGCGTAATATTTTTTGTTCTTTTCGATAATTTGATTTTTCGTCAGCTGCACTGGAATGGCTTCAAGTTATGAGTAACGGTAGTGTGCGTGCAAGGTTGCTTACTGAGATAGTTCAATTTCAATTCAATCGACTTTAGGGCAACAAATAAATACAGTATTACACTTACAAATGGCTAAATCTGGCCAATGGCCATTCATACATAATCATAAGTTCCTTTCAAATAGCTATTTCAAGTATAACTCGGTTTCAATCGATCCATCAATTCCATCTTCTGCACTGTTCCTTTGCAACGACTTGTTCAGAACAGCCTCAGCTCTAGTTCAAATCAGATTTTGAATAAAACATTTGAATATGGATACTGAATAAATATCATTAATGTACAACAAAAGACATGCTAGAATCAAAACTGATCCTTGAGGAATAACTGCGTTCACGTTTTCTCGGATACCTGCCAATGGATATGGGATTTATTTCCGGTTTCGATGGATGGCTCACTTCCACCAAAGAGTCGTTCGTTTCGGCTGATCGGAGTTTAAATCACCGAGGGCTTAACCTGGCATGAACACGTCTCGTCAATAACGGGAGCTGCTGGGAAAAAGTTAGGCTATTTGCTTAGGGCTAAGAAGTACTTTTCTCCACATGACCTCCTCACTCTGTACAAGGCCCAGATAAAACTCTTTCCTAACGGACAATCTCGGGACCCATTCGCACCGTCGAGCCGCCGGCGCTCAAAAGTGCTAAAACCGCTATGTCAACAGCCCTTGCTCCTCGAAGTTCTGCTCCTTGATGCCGCTGCGCGATGTGCCTGCTAGACAGACCTGCCCAGCTTCAGCCTTCCGTGTCGAACTTCGCACATGCAGAACTGGCCGACACGACCGCTCCTTTGTCCCTAGGGTATCGAGATTCTGGAACAATCTACATGAAGGCGCTTCTCCTAGTTCTACTAACCTCACGCAGTTCAAAAATCGGATTAACAAGGTTTCTTTAAGCTCCTTATAGCAACTGCGTTGTCCTGGCATTTAGGCTTCTTCCTGACGAACCATTTAAAGCTAGTAACAAAATGTCTCAAAGAAGGCTTGCATCGATTCTGCCAACCCAACCCTAAAGTGTCGAGTATTCCCTCTCGATTAGCCTGACATCAGCTGATCCTAGAAAATCGATGAGGAGCTGGTTGTCCAAAAAAGTGACCTACATGCACTCCCCCATCTCCAAACAATAAATCTTCTGCGCCCCTTTCATTCGTACATTGGCACTGAAATGGGGTGGTGAGAGACGGCCTTAGATGAGGTGCGATGCGATTTAAAGCTGAGTTAGAACTCTGAATATTGTGTAATAATAAAGCGGCGCTACACTCTGGAAATTAAGAGTTTTCGTTCAGATCAGACGTGTAATTATTTTTGAATTTTTTTTTGTAATAACTAGAATTTTTGCCGACATCTCCAAATAGAGGTAGTAGTACATGATACGAATTCAGTTTCAGCAACCCAAACAACGTAACATGAGCATGGTTGAACCCACTCACTAACCGACCGATTTTTAACTTTTTTGTGAATCAATAACAATATTCATTGGTCTAACTACAAAGATTTCATATGAATAAAAACGGTAGTTACCAATAACCATAGAATCCAAGAAAAAAGTTTTTAACCGAACTTGAATTATACTAAGTGACATATAAATCCGAACACCCAGTTTAATAAAAGTTGGTGAATGTATTTATCTTACTGTAAATATTGATATGAGAATGATTTCTTAAATGATTCTTTATTGTGTGATTGTATTGTAATCAAATTCAATCTTCTAATGTTCAGATCCGGTAACTAATTTTTAAGTGAAGATAAGGGGGCTTTTATATTTTATAATCGTGTAAAAAAAGGAAGTAGAGTGCAAGGTACGTCTCTGAGCCATATTCATCCATCCCAGTTCAGGTAGTTTGTGGGATACTATTTGTCTACCCCTTATGCCAAATATCAGTCAGAATTCTGAGCTTTTTGAACCCGTTTTAGTTCCACACTATCAAGGAATGGGCCATACACCATATCAGCAAAGTTGAAGTGGGACAACACTAAAGCTTCGCAGAGCGTGGTATTAGTATTTTGTGATCGGTAGTGTCTATGGGGGTAAATTATTTTTATATAATATCAAATAAGGGCACATTAAGCCTATGGTAAGCACATGTTTCGTATAAAATGCCCGTCATTGTCCTAAATATGGCGGCATAAATAAAATTTCTACTATATTACATACATAAATGAAACAATTTGATAAAACAGGTACATGGTTTCTTTATTTTCAAGCATATTAGTTTAATAGTATTTTACTTTCAATTCAACTGGTTCCAGTAAATTCAGTTTGATTAAACCGAACAATTTAGTTACCTAGTATAATTAAAAAATGCATTACAGGTAATGAAAATTCTGCAGAACAATTCTCTCTCTCCCCAAACTTTTCCCAGGTCCTCTACACCCTCATCTCGTGCAATGTTGACCTGGCGCTTGCTTATACCCAGCCTACGCTCTGGACCATTGATTCCCAAAGTAGTCCCTAGGGATCTATGACAACCTGCAAGGGGTCTACGCCAGCGAAAAAAAATTTGGGGGTCCATGAAATGAATATGGGGGTCCACGATACTGGATCTCAACACATACACTGATAGTACCTATTTACTTACATCATACTATCTTATAATATCAAAACATATACATTATTTATAAAAGTACCTAAGAAGTAAAAAATTTAATATATATGTTTATAAAATTGTGTAAGTTGTAGGATGTTGGTACTCGCTTTGTGGTCGCAATACGTTTTGAACTTGTAAAAACCTGAGAGTCGCAGTCTCAGAGCTTCGCTACCTTGCACTGACTTGTTCAATTCGTCACTCTATAAATACGAATGTGGGACGAATACGTTTATTCGTTTCCTAAATCTTGAAAAGGAAAGTGCTAAGAAAATATTTTAAAAAATATAAATAGATAGTATATCACACAAATTATAGTGAGTCAGTGTTATTTTGTTTGAGAGTGCTGGAGAAAAGTAAGTACATTATTTTTCATTAAATTTTAGTTTTGTACTCGTAGTTAGCAAAGATAGATAAATTACGCCAATCATGACTTTAGTTATTAGTAGTTAAACATTCAATCATGCAAAATTACACGAGTACTCCTCAATAGTTTCTTTTTGAAAGTTTTAGCAATCGGTAATATAATTACAGTGCAATCTCCGTAATTCGAGCTAATTGTTGCAAGAAGATGTTTATGAATTATGGAATGTTTTCGGAAAAATCAAAAAATATTTTTAATATACAGCTGCTGGATTTTCTGTCTTATTTAAATAATTTAATTTTGCCCACAGATGACTGATGCCATGTCCGAATCTAAAAAGAAATATAGACAGTACAGTGTTGATTATTTGAAATTTGGCTTCATTCCATCATTGCCGGACAAACAATCGCCTATGTGCCTTTTATGCAACAAAATTTTGGGCAATGACGCTATGAAACCATCTAAACTGCAAGATCATCTGAGAAGATGCCACCCTGATAAAACAGAGAAAGATCTGAAATACTTTCAAACACTGAAAGATAAATTTCACAAGAGACCTACACTGGACAGATGTTCGCTTCGACGTCACAAAGAAATGATGATGGTTTGCGGGCGTCTTACAATATCTCGTTACTTATAGCAAAATCCGGAAAACCGCATACTATCGGAGAGAATTTAATTTTGTTGAAGAGGTTTTAAAAACTGTTTTACACAAACCTGCATCTGATATCATTAAAAGAATTCCCTTAAGCAACAATACTGTTGAAAGACGTATTGATGAAATGAGTTCTGATATTGAAAGCTTCTTATGTAATTATTTGCAAACGACCCATTCCTCTATACAACTGGACGACTCAACTTTACCTGATAATGCAGCATTATTATTGGCATATGTTCGTTTTATTATGAATCAAGAAATCTACGAAAATCTGCTCTTCGCAAGAACTTTGATAACCGACACTAAAGGTGAATCAATATTTCATGTTTTGAAGGATTACTTCATTGAAAAAGCAATTCCTTTATCAAATATAATATCAGTAGCTACAGATGGAGCACCTGCCATGGTTGGACGTCATCATGGAATTATAAGCTATTTAAAACAAAATGTGTCTGGGGTGTTAGCAATACATTGCGTCATCCATCGACAACATTTAGTTGCTAAAAATTTGAGTATTAGATTGCATGAATCACTTCATTTAGTCATCGATGCAGTAAACCAAATCCGAAGCAACGCGTTGAATACGCGGTTATTTGCGCAGTTGTGTGAAGAAAATGACCAACACTTTCATCAATTACTCCTTCACACTGAAGTACGCTGGCTGTCGAAAGGATTATGTTTGACAAGATTTTTTGGACTTTTTGAGACTATTTTAGAATTTCTGGATACTAAAGATAAAATTTTAAAAGAAAATTTAATGAAGAGGAAAACAGACCTTTTGATCAGATTTGTTTACAAAATTTAATATGGTTAATTTGCAATTACAAGGCGACAGTTTAAATTTGATTGAAACAAAGTCCATCTTATCAGCATTTCTTGCCAGAGTTAAACTAATGAAGCAAAATATTGAACGGGGCGAATTTTCTCAGTTCCCCAATTTGTCACAGACAAGCTGCCAGAAAGACGACGTTTCAACTTACGTTCAACATTTAAATGCCCTCTATTCAGATTTTGAATCTAGGTTTGAGGATATTTTGACTATGGTAATACCACCGTGGATAATTAATCCATATGGTGACATAGAAGAAACGAATGTCATAATACAAGAAGAACTGACTGAACTAAGTACAAACGAAGAACTTAAGGTTCAGTTTAAAAACGGATATCAGCAATTCTGGCTGCAAAACAACATACCCGTTGCTTATCCGGTATTATGGAATATAGCGAGGACAATTTTAATTTCCTTTCCATCGTCATACCTAGTGGAAAGGGGGTTCAGCGCTGTTACCAATCTCCTAACGAAAAAAAGAAACAGACTGGACATCATTAGCCGAGGAGATTTAAGATTAACCCTTACAAAATTGACGCCAAATGTTGATAATTTATTATTAAAGCATCAGGTTCATCCTCCTCACTAAAAATATTGACTTATTGCTTATGTTATTTTATTTATAGTTTATTTTATGTTTATTGGTGTCTGACCAATAAATGCCCGCATTGATTTTTTTAAAGAACCCCCCTTTATAGAAAATATTTTTTTATTTAAGTTATTCTGAAAATTCAAGGATAGGTACACACTAAAATTCGTTAATTTTTTGATTTTTTTTGAGATAACTTAAACGTATTAAGAAGCGGAATTTAATCAAACTAACAGTTATTGTAGAACATACGTTTATGTTATAATTAATAAACGAACTCGCTTATTGTACTATTTTAAGTAAAAAACTTTTTTTTTTATTTTTCACTTTTTTTTTATTTTATCCCTCTTATTTTTTTTTTCAATGCGGGCACTTATTCCCAATGCGGGCACTTATTGGTCAGACACCTGTTTATTTAATGTTACGTATATTTTACATAACAGATACAAAATTTTATTTTGAGTAGTTTTAATGTAAATTCAATTAATAAATGTATAAATTAGCATGTGTTTTTACTTTAAGTTTTTAACATTAAACTTCACTACAGTTAGAAATTTACAGGAAATCAATATCAGGCAAGTAGGGGGTCTACCCAACACGGAAAAACATGGCAAGGGGTCTACGACACAAAAAAGTTTGGGGAACTCTGCTCTGGACCGATGCAGGAGCCGCTGACTCCCAGCTCATAGAAATCATCTACTATCGTTACTGTGTCCGGAAACCCAAAGCAGAATCACTTCATTGGATCGGTCAAGCTCTGAGTAGCAGTACTGTGTTCGTGAACTCGACATAAACTTGTTCCCTCTCTTCATGGCTACTTGCTTGACTCTCGGAACGTTGGTTCCGCTCAGCGCACTGTTCAAGTTCCACTAGGTATGCTACTATTAAGATGGCAAATATCTCTGCCTGGAAAACTGTTTTGCAGATTCCTAGCGCGAAGCTTTCCTGCACGCCTTTGGCTTTGAGGTATAATCCCGATCGCCTGGATATTGTTTCTTTGAAGAACGATCCACCTACGAAGACGTTGAGGCGGGAGTGTTACCTACCCATTCGCCTATTTTTTCTCCATAGGGATGATGATGACTAGTCATGTGTTAGGGCAAAGTGCTTAATTAGTAATGGGTCCTATCTCTGCTTAGCAATTATTTTTCATGGTTCACCTTGAGCATAAGCATCCTGCAATAACTCCAGCAAAGTTATAAACTGGCACTAATTAAGAGAATCGAAGCATCAGTTTCGGCTTCAATCTTACGGCCCATCATTACTCGAGGACTGGCTCAACTAAACCATGAAAATCAATTTACTATCTAATTTACAGACTTTAATGGACGCGAGCTTTTGTCTTAGCTATTCGCTTCATTTATAAATCGTCAATTTTAGAGTTAGCATACACATTTAATAAAGAAAGCACGAGAAAATGAGGAGACGAAGCCTGACGAGTTAATCTGGCAGGACTAAAAGGAGGCGGTATCATAGAAAACCAACCAGTGTGAGGAGGTCAGATGGTGAAAAATTATTTTTACTTCCTAGGCGCCAAAACTGAAGAGGAAGAATTGTAACCGCAAAAAAAATCGAAATTGAGAATTTATGTTTTTTGGAAGTCATATATTCAATCAATTCAATTCAATAACCTTTATTTCCATACAGACAATATATAATTGTATTGGAATTGTCAATTTTTCGTTCGCTATAAACCTACAACTAATCTCAAATTGCAATGTTCAAAAATTCATCAACACGATAAAAGCACTTGTTTATCAAAAATTGCTTCAACTGAAACTTGAAGTCATTAATATTTTTAACCGAGGTAATGTGGCATGGTAAATTATTAAAAAGAAGCGGACCAATTTTATTAGGTGATCGAAATGCCGCTTTTGATTTGCTGAAGTTTACATATAAATTATTATAAGTCCTTGTATCATAATTATGCATATCACAATTTCGCTTCAATTTTTCAATATTTTTAAAAACATCTAAGCACAATTCATATACAGGGTGTTTCAGTTTATTGTTGCATAACTTTAAGATTCTATAGAACTTTTAAAATGCGTGGCTTCCGAAATACAGGGTGTTTAAATTTACTTTCTAAAACAGCTTTTTTTAAATATTTCGAACAATATTTGTTGTATAACAGTGAAAATTGGTATACAAGGGTTTTTTGGTACGACAAAATGAACCATGGGCATAGTTTTACTGTAGCCGCTAGAGGGCGCTCTCTACTGTACCTGTAGTGTATTAAAATGACCGAAAATTTTTTCTTAGTGCAATTTTTTGCTTTTTGAATAAAAAAGCTGATTCTTCGCACTTTTCAACATAAAAAAGCTCTTCTGTGAGTTTTCGTTATAGTTAGCCGTTTTTGAGGTATTTCGATTTTTAAGGTTCGATGCATTTTTAATTATTTATGGGAAAATAATATTTTTTTTACATTTCCGATTTGGGCATTACAAGTACAGGATCGTGGAGGCCAGGCGAATGGTCCTCCACGGCCGATCCAACTTTCTGGATAATTCTCGTCCAGCCAGTTTCTAACTATTCTCGAATAATGAGCTGGACAACCATCAAGCTGGAACCAGGCCAATCTTCTTAAATCTAACATAACATCATCCCACATATTTGCATGTTCAGCATTTAAAAATTCCAAGAAGGTCGCAGCATTTAACCTTGAAGGCAAAAGGTAAGGTCCAAATAGTCGATTACGGTAGATACCAATCCACACGTTCACACTAAATTCATGCTGAAAATTTCTTTCCCGAACTGCATGCGGATTTTCATGCGACCAAATATATTGATTATGAAAATTTACCACTCCACGTCTAGTGAAGCATGACTCGTCGGTCCATAAAACGTTACTTAAAAGCTCCCTATTATTATCAGTTCTATCAAGAATCCACTGACAAAATGTGATTCTTCGGTCTCCGTCCCTTGGCTGTAGTCCTTGCACAGGTTGCAAATGGTAAGGACGTCTATGGTCATTTCTAAGAACACGGTGAACATGGGTTGCTGAAATTCCCAAGGCACCAGAAACTCTCCTAACACTTGTGGTCGGATCCCTATCAAACTCACGCAGAATCATACGGGTAAATCTGCGCTGACGAACATTTATGTTTTGATCCCTTTGGAGATTTCCAAAACCATTTTCAATTATTTGGCGATGCACTCTTACAAATACTGAGCGAGTTGGATGTCGTCTGTTTGGAAATATTCGTGCGTATTCTCTGGATGCTTCTGCTGCGTTTCCATTTACAAAGCCATACACAAAATGAATATCCGCTAACTCTTGATTGGAGAATAAAAATGGCATTTTTATAAAACAGGTAAAAGAAACTAAATTTCGTGCATTCACAATTGCAAAAAAACGTTTCAGGTTTCAACAGACAACAAAACTAACTGTCAACTAATTGACGTTTAACCTTATTCTGCTTTCAATTTCAAAAATATTTGCAGGCATAGCCTACTTCTAAAAATTATCGAGATACTGACTTTTTAACGTTATTTTATCATAAATAATTGAAATATCTCAAAAACGGCTAACTATAACGAAAATTCACAAGAGTGCTTTTTTATGTTGAAAAGTGCGAAGAATCAGTTTTTTTATCCAAAAAGCAAAAAATTGCACTAAGAAAAAATGTTCGGTCATTTTAATACACTACAGGTACAATAGAGAGCGCCCTGTAGCGGCTACAGTAAAACTATGCCCATGGTTCATTTTGTCGTACCAAAAAACCCTTGTATACCAATTTTCACTGTTATACTCAAATATTGTTCGAAATATTTAAAAAAAAATAATTTTAGAAAGTAAATTTAAACACCCTGTATTTCGGAAGCCACGCATTAATTATTAATAAACTGAAACACCCTGTATATACAATGAAGGGACAGTGAAAATGTTGAAACTTATAAAATATTTTTTGCAACTTTCTGTTGGTGAGATACCTGCTAACGATCGGATGCATCTTTTTTGAGACACAAATACATCTTCAGAGCGCGTTGACCAACCCCAGAAACATACTGCATATCTTAATCTCAAATCCACATTAGCAAAATAAACTTGTATCAATTGTTCAGCTGTTAAGATGGTTTTTAATTGCCTCAACACATAGCTTTGAGAGTACATTTTTGATGTGAGAAATTCGCAGTGGGCCTTCCAATCTAAGTTCGAATCAAAATGAACTCCAAGAAATTTCACTTCTCCTCTAAAATCGAGTTGATCGTCACCCAATCTAACTTGAAACTCTTCTACAGTTTTTTGAGCATGATGAAAACGAATAAGCGTTGTTTTGATTAACTAGGAAAATTAATTGTAGGGGTTGAAACTTGGGGGTTGGAGGTGGTAGAGGGTAAAGGATTGTAAATGTAACGTCTTAAGTATCAGTCAAAGATGTTCTATCATTAAGAAACGTCTGTTCCCGGTAATAACGGGAAAACTAAGTGATGTGATAATTCAAAATAACTTGACAATCGGCGTTGCGTGCACGGCGCGATGCTGCATTGTCGTGGAGGTCACCGCCGACTGTGCAAAGGGTAACAAACTCCAACTGGTCTGCGGTGGAGTCGTCACTGACACATGAGAATGATTTTTGTATTTTAACAATATTTGGATATTAGGAGTAGCTACTACGTTAGCGTTCTGCGATGCTTTTGTAAATGATGACTTAACTGTTTTTATATTGACACACATTTTTTCTGAACGTTATGTTCCTTAAATGTACCACCTATTTCGCCAAACCTTTACTTTGTGTTACTCGGTCTATGACGGTTCTCTGCATATTTCGTCAAGTAGATTGACTCATTACTTATGACGCATTGATATACAACAGACACGAACTTAATACTTCCATCGTCTATCTAGTCGTAAACTTTGCAAATTGCTTCAGAGGCGGCAAAACTGCGGACAAAAGAAATAAAATGGCTGGAAGATAGTGTTACAAGATTTCAGAGATTTGTGCTCATTTCCCGCCATTTTTTGGAGGGGCTGGAAATTA